CAGTTATTTTAGTAATTTCTTGGCCTAGAGTAATTGTTCATGTCTTGCATACACACTTAGACTTCAAACAAGGGAACAAGGTGTTAGACCTCCACAGCAAATGACTGTTTGCTAATTTCTGTTCTTTTCACTAAATTTCCCACAAGAGTCAGGATCTTCTATTAATTGAGGATGTTTCTCCAGAAACCAGAAGACTACTAGATACATAATAGGCAATTAAAAAATTGTGATGTATTCTGTTTATTCGAAGTAGTTCTTGCTCAAGTACTAGCTTGCAATGGGGAGAAGAATAGCACTGTAGCACTGTCCTCCCATTGTTAAATGATTTGCTCGAGCAGGTACCAGTAATGTCTTCATTGTGAAACTTGTTGTTACTGTTTTTGGCGTAACAAATACATCACAGGTAGCTTGCCAGGCTTTGCTGTGCGAGCCGGATACTCTCGGTAGCTTGCCGGGCTCTTCGAGAGGGATGGAGGAATTGAACCCGGGTTGTAGCATTAAAAATTAGTGAAAGATTACTGCAGTAAATCAAACAAGGAAATGCAAAGAAAATATGCATACTGATAATTGAGTTTGTGTAGAATCAGCCCAACTTAACCATTATGAACAGGGGCTTGATAAAGTGAGAAGTCTACTATTAATGTAGTTTAAACTTAAGTACCTAAATGGATGGTGTTATTTTGGTCAAAATAGGGAGGAATATAAGAGGAGAAGAAAAGTAAATAGATGTGTTAAAAGTTTTTATTCAAACTCACTGAGAATGAAATTCATTTGCAATCTGATCTATTAATCATCAGGGAACAGTATAAAAAGACTTCTCTGATTTTTGTACTTAACTTCTGAATAAAAATAATTTGACAAATTGCATATTTCTTCAGATTTAAATCAGCTATATCTCTTGAATGCCTTAAAGGAATAATGGAATTATTTCATTTATTATCAAAAAGATTAAGACTATAATTATAGTTCACTATCTCTTTAGTAGAAGAGAGGGAGGGAAAAGTTGATTAAATAACTACTTCTAAAATATCATGAATTAAACCTGGGAGACACTATTATAGCAAACTGTTAATCTATGTTATCATCACAAAAATCACTGACTTTTTGACAAAATATAAATGTGACATAATAAGAGTAAAAAAAATTTTTCAAATCTGTAATAGAGCTTTGAGATGTTGATATTTGTTTAGGTTTTAATATTGCTGATGGCACATTAGAAATTACCCAACTAAATACAATATGCTACACCCAGCAAGAACTCTTTAGTTATATAAAACTTCTAAACCTCTGATTCCCTTTCTTTCTTCTTTGAGCCTTAAAACAAAAACAGCACCACCACTATTTTACTCAAAAAATATATGCCCCCAAATTCCCCTCGTATATTTTTTTTAAAAAGTTCTTCCTCTGTCTTCAAGAACAATAAGAAGACACTGTCTTATGATGCGGCTTCTCAATATTGCCTATATCAAAATCATCTGAATCGTTGGGAGCTACAAATTTGAAATCATTAGTCTATAAGAATTTCATTTAAATAAAGTGATTGTTTTTTCTTAAAATAGGAAAAATAATATGGTATTTTGTGTCTCGTTGTATTCAGACTATAAATGTGTGATTTCTTAGATCTTAGTTACAATGCAGTTAAAATGAGCTAAAAGCCATTCCTGGGCTATTTTTGAAAGGAAACTATGTAAATTCAGTTTGTGGGACATAAAATATAAAACAAGACATAAAGCAAGGTTACCAATAGCCTTCTCTCTCCCCCAACCACATACATGCTGAACACCATCCTTTTATAATTTCTCCTATATTTATATACATTGATTATAAAAGTATGGACTATAAAATTGCTTATAATTTTTACAGTAGAACTGAATTCCCTATAGAAATCTACTAGGAAATAAATTACAGGGTAGATTGCAGCAGAATTCTTTAGTATATGATTTCATAGTTTAGTAACAGTTGCTCTCAATTGTTACTCCTGCACAAAATATAAAAGATGCAGAGCTCAGGTATGAAACTTCAAGTTCACAAGAAACTAGGGGAGTCTTCATTTGACTATCTAATGAGATGAAAGTTATCACTGATGAAACTGAAGACTGAAAAAAGCATCTCCCAATGAGTTATAGATAGAACTAATTTCAAAGTATTTTGTATTCACATAGATTCAGATCTGTTGAAATGCTGTATTTAGTATTACTCTCTTAGGAAATGTGAAATCAATAGCAAAAATCCCTCTTTTTCTCTGCGAAGCCTGTACTCTGTTTTCTCATGGGAAGTGACTTTAAGGAACCCGTGAATGGAGATGCAAAGTATCTATAGGAAGATAAGGGGGGGAAAAGGACAATAAAAAAAACAAAACAGGCACATTTCATAGCACCGACAATAGATGGGAATGGAATGAAACTAGTGGAATTGTCACTGTGGGAGACTTTGAAGGAACAGGTGCAAGTGCATAAGTTCTGGGGAGGTACATGGTGAAATCAGGGATCGAGACAAGTTGGGAGATAATCCTTGCAGACAAATCCCAAAAGAAAAAGGCAGGAGACAGTAACTGAACAAGTACAGGGAATAATGTCAATTGGTAAAGCTGAAGATAAGGCTTAATTAGGAAAGATGAATTCTATCAATGGAGAGGAATGATAAAAAAAAAAAAGGATTCATACTATTGCTTTGATTCTTAAATCTTGTATAGAGGTCCCTGTGGCATAAAGACTCTGAGACCTGCTATTTACTAACTCTTTAGCTCTTCAACTAGCTCTTTAGCTCTATTTACTAGCTCTTGAACTCTGAGTAGTCCAGTGTTCTCTATTTCCTATACATGTAATTGGGATAATTATAGTATGTAACCATTACTTTATTCTAAGGAGATTAACACTCTTATGGAGAAAATAGATCCTTTAACTTTAAACATAGTTTAAATATAGTTATGACAGCATCTATCAAGATAGACTGAACAGTGGTGAGACAATGGGAAGGAGAATGATTCAACTCAACTCCCCTCCCCCGGAAACATTCATGAGCCATCCTTATTCAAACTTTAATGTTGGTCTCAGGGCTTTTTTCAAATTTCTTTTTTACTTATTTGTTGTTGGGTCAGTGAGGGTTTGGGGGCAGCTCCAGGAAGTGAGGCAGAGGGGCTCCTCCTGGCTATACTCAGCCATCCAGCCAAACAGTCCGATGTGAACTCCTAGTTCCAGCAAAGTTCAGGCTCTGAGTTGCCAAGGATTGCCCAAGCCTCACCCAGTGGTTCTCAGGGGACCATGTGGCACTGGGGATCTCGAATTGGGGTCAGCTTGATGAAAACAACGTGCCTTGTTCCCTGTATTATCTCTCTGTCCCTTTAGAAATTTTACAAGTAAGTACAAAATTTATCTTTTAGAGATTGGAAAATTAATACAGAGATTAAGGTGCTTGCTTTGCATATAGGCAATGCTGGTTTGGTCCCTGGTGACACAAATGATCCCCCAAGTACCCCTGAGCACAGAGCCAGTAGTAAACCCTGAGAATAAATAAAAACAAATAACTTTTTATTTTTCCTCCCTGCTAGTCATATGTTTGCATGTCTAAGCTCTCTGAAATACAGGCTGAATAAAAAAATCCATTACGGAATTGCATATTTAGGACCTGAATCTTCTAGATCCCAGCCAACGCTTTATAGTTTAATTAGCTTATGGCTTCATTTTATCTCACTATTTTCTGGTATTTGTCATTGGGTAAAATTCATGACTTTAAGGAGCAGTGCAGAAATTCACCATTTGAATTTGATGAAAAACTTTTGTGGATTCTGATATGTGTGAAAAATTGGGAGTTTTATTGCTACATTTAGCCTTTAGCACATCTTTCTTTAAAATAAGAATTAAAAAGTATCTAGCATTTTAAAACATTGTACAAATTTTTTTGTCACCCTTTCTAACCCTCATGGCTTTGAGTTCATAAAAGACATGAAATATAATATGATATCTAGTATGATCTACATTGATATTTATGACTTCTTTCCAAATTTCTTTATACTCCTGAGAAATATATATATATATATATATATATATATATACTTCAGATTGAATTGATAAAAATTCCAAAGAGAAGCAAGAAATAGAAGTGAAAAGTAAATTTTATGCATGTTTATTTTGGATAAATACTGTTTCCCCTTCATCTGAGATGAGTTTATCTTTTAAACTTGAGCAATTGAGCAGAACAAATATTCTTTTCTTGAAACAAATCAAAGTTATTTATGCTGAATATGCTACCTAATAGAGGTGTATTGGGAGCTGCAACAATTGCAAATAAATATGATAGAAAAGAAATAAATGATGTTCAGTTTCTGGGTTTAGCTTCTGCTCTAGACTACAAAATCAGTTACTTATTTTTCATGTACTGCCGTCATTGTTCTGTTGATCTAATCTATGCCCAATAGAGAGAAGATCAAGAACTATTACAAATCCCACCAACTTTGTAGCATTCATCAATCTACTGGCATTTCTCTACTTAAAATCTCTTAAAAGTAGACTGTGACTGATGGTTTATGATTTCTTAAAGAGAATTTATAAATTTATCCTTTCTGCTTTGCCTTAGGAATATTTCAGAAAGGCCTGATCTAATGTAATTCAGTCATAATCACTGTACCACAGAAGATGTGTCACAACTGCCATATCAGCTACAGTAACTGCTTAAACCCTGGTTTTTGCTTGATTATATTTGAAGGAAAGCTCGGGACAAAAGAACATAATGCAAACAAGTTATTGTAGGGCTTTAAAAAAGGAGATGCTTATTTCCGTTGTGATTCATATTACCTTTATGAGCTCAAAATAAATAGTGACATAAAGAATTAAGAGATACTTATGTAAAATGTGAAGATTTAGTAGGAGCATGTTGGAAAATAAAATTGTACTAATAAAACACAAATCACGTAACCGCCGCCACAGCTAGAAATCTCTAACTGCAAGTACATATTTCTATAATTGCTCTCACCCAAATGTATTTCTTGCTCTTTTTGCAGGTAGACCAGTAATGATTGTGGTGGAGTATATGGAAAATGGGTCCCTAGACTCCTTTTTACGGGTGAGATTTTATTTTCTGATGGCATTTAAATAAATTATTCTAAGTTCTAAATGTAAGTAAGTTATCATAAGTTGATTTTTACAAAATCTTGTCAATGTTTTTCATGAACAACAGTAATATTTTTCTAAGGTGTCTATCTCTAATATAGTGATACACTTGAATAGTAGGATTTTCTCCAGAATATGCATCTCTGGTATAGTGATGTGTCACAATAGTAGTATTTTCTCTAAGGTGTGTATGTCTGGAACAATGATATGTTGGAGCAGTGTTTCTCAAACAAGGACCAAATGGTCCCCTTTATGGCCCCCGGGATATTCCAAGAGTACCACAGGAGAAAATCACATAAACAGAGGTCATGACTCAAGACTAAGAGGACAGTCAGTAGGATAGAGGTCATAAAAAGAATACAAAATGGAAAGGGGTCACAGTTGTGCAAAGGTTGAGAAACTGCATCCAAGGACACAGAGAGAGTAATAAGATCAATTTCACCTTTAAATCACCTGCCATATTAATATGTATATATTTCAAGTGGTATTATAAGAGGATTAAAGCCATTCATCTTTCTTTATCATATTTAATTTCAGTATATTTCACACATTATCTGCAATGCTAATCCCCTTAAATTGATGTACATTTCCCAGTAATGAGTGTATTACAAAGAGCAGGTTTCTCTGCTGTGTCCCTCTTGTTTCATTTGGCTAACTGTTTAGGGAAAAAAAAGAAAAGAAAATGAGTAAACTTCAAGCCTGGCAAGCTCCCCATGATGTATTCAATATCCCAAACACAGTAACATCAAGTTTCACAATGTTACTGCCCCCCCCCACCCCCAGGAAATCATGAACAGGACAGTGCAACAGTGACAGTGCTACAGAGTAAACTTCAGCAGAGATGTGTTTTATAACAAAAGTAGAAAGAAGCAATTACTACAGTAAACCATAAGCAGCTCAGGAGAGGCTACATATTTGCCTGTCATATTGTTTAATACTTGTATATTATAGTAAAGTGGCAGTTTTTCTTATAAAATCACTGGTTTCTCACCATTTGGGATGCGTTATGTTGTTTTTCATCCTCATTTTATGTAAATAAATAATCTCAAAAATTCTTCAATTTTTTTTATTCCATGTTGTTTGAACAAGATCTGTGTGCAGCTTACCTTTCTCTCGTGATCTCGTTTTCATTTACTTTTTCTTGATTTCCTGCCCTCTTCTTTCAACTGCTCTCAATATTAGCATTGATGATATATTTACACTGTGACTGAATTTGACGTCCAGATTCAATTCCACAAGCTGAATTCAGCAAAATTGTCATGTTATTATAAAGCAATACTCTTGGTACAATGCATACTCTCTAAGAAGTACACTTTTTAAGGCAAAATGAGATTCAAAGGTGTTCGGGGACATGAACTATTTGTTCTTTTCTGTGGCCATTCTCACAATGTTATTTTATAGATGATATTTATTTCTCCTGCAAATGTGCTAAATTATTTTAGAATATCTTATTGTGACCACCTATAGTACATGCAGTGCATATACACTATGCCCTCCTGTTATGTTTATTCAAAACTCATTTTTATCAGCTACATATCAACATGACTTATTATCTAAAGATACTTGGTACATTTTTTTCATCAGATATATCCTAGAGCTGAATATAATGACAGATAATGCAGCACATAAGCAATCAAAATTGCTGCTGAAAATTGGATCAAATAATACAATTTTCATCCTGCTGAATCATGAATTTATTAAACTATATTATAAAGAGAAGATACTTTTAAAATTGCAGGGGTGCTCCCAATTGATGATCGGAATGCCCAGCAGTTCTTGGGCAACTCAGCCAGCGGTTCATAGGACCTAAGGATGCTGTGCTGCTCAAGTGCTGTGAGTCAGAAGTTATCTGGGCCACACCAGCTGTGCTTAGGGACCTCAAGGGCTTCACCCGGAAATGCTAAAGAATCATATAGTGACAAAAATTAAACCAGGCAGGAACCTTAGCCACTGTACTATATTCTTCCCTCTCCTGAAAGGATATTTTATTAATGAAATATTTACTTATAAACATCTCAGTAAATGTTATAGTTCATATATTTCATGCATTCTTATTTTTTTGGTTTTAGGGCCACAGTATGCAACACTCAGGGAAGACTGCTATCCCTGCACTCAAGAATTGCACTCAAGAACCCTGGTGGAGAGCCATATGGGATGCCAGGATCAGATGCATGCAAAGCAAGCACCTACCTGCTGTCCTATATCTCTCCAGCCTCTATGTGTTAAAATTTTTAAGCTATGGGCTAGAGAAATAGTGCAGGAGTTATGTGCTTCTTACATAGCCTATCCCAGCTTGATATCCAGCGCTGCATATGCTGTGGAATAATCATTTGATCCCCTAAGCACAGATCCAGAGTAAATCTGAGTACCACCATGTATGACCCCCAAAAAACCAAAATCTTTTAAGCTAATATTTTTCAGCTTTTATATGCACAATGTGAAAAAGTCACTGCAGACTCTGGGAAACAGCAAGTTTTTAATTGAGGTAGCTAGTGTTACTGCTATTATAGGAACCTTAGCGTATTTTATCTCACTGCTGCTTTCTCAGCTTATGACCTTGCAACTTAGGCCAGTCTTCATCTTCTCTGTGCCTCTATTTACTTACCTATAAAAATGGGGATGCTAGCAGTAACAACTCCATATTGTTGTTTTAATGATTAACTAAGTTGAGAAATTTAGAGAATAATTTCTGATACATTGGGATTGATAAATATTTAAATTCAGGTCTGTCTCGCAAACTAAATTCTCATACAACATGAACCCAATATTTTTATTAAAATATTTATTACTTCTTATAAGTTCACTTCCATCTCCCCTTTTGGTCCCAGGTCACCTATCTTCATAGAATTTCTGTTAACAATAAATATTCTATGAATGGAGAGAAAAATCATAACACCAGCACTCCCCTTTACCCATCTTTAATATTCTTAGCCTTCCTTCTAATCATATCTCTTATCCCAAAAGCTCAAAGTGCTTTATAAACTTCATGTCAATAGCAGATATTCCACTCCCTATGGCAAACAAATATATATATATGTATATATAAAACAGATTCTCACAAGTAAAGTCATTTTTCAAACTGCTGATTTAGAATTTGATCATCACAGCCTCCGTGTGCACCGAAAAGGCAAGGTAGGAAAGTGCACTTCATAGGAGGGGAGCCATCCATGGCTCATTAATAGCATTCTGTGCTTACTGGAGGCAGAGAAGATTTCCCTTTGGTCTCTGCACTATTTGAAAATCACTTCAATTTACTATTTAATATATGAGGGAGAGATAGCACAGCTAAGTACAAGATTACAATATACACCCACCCAGGTAGCTGACGGGTGATACTGAGCTAGATTCATAAATCTTGTACAGTTAAGAAATCTTATGGACATTCCTCCAGATGTATATTATAAGGAGGTAGTATGAGTTACGTCCCTATATCTATGCACATAGGTGTGGAGAAAAGTGTGTGGGTAGATTTGCTCATTTTGTTTGTCAGATTTCAGTTATTCAGAATTGTAGTACCACTGCTTTTAGTTCATGAGATACTGTGCTCATGCTGCAGCCTCCTGTCCCACCTCAAAGGTTTTTGAGTGAGAAGAAACAATACGTATCCATTATTTGCGAAGCACAATCACATGCATAGTTTTATTCATAAGACATAACAATGAGAGAAATTAATAAAGACCAACAACAGGATCAAGGAAACTGAAATGTGCTCTGGAAATGTTGACAGGGTGTTTGGAAGCAAGAAGAGCGTCGTGGAGGTTGGGATGACCCACCAACACGAAGGACAGTGTGGAACTTGATTTCAGTCTTCAGTTACTGGAAGGGTTCAATGGGCTGAGCACGTGCTTTGTATGCAGGAGGCCCAAGTTCTGTTCAAAGCACTGCATGATTCGCTGAGTACCAACAGGAGCTACTCTCAAGCATTGAGCCACAGGTAGTCCCGAGCATCACTAGGCATGACCAAAAGGGAGTAATAAAAATTAAATGATGAATTAAAATAAATTGAGTGAAGAAGAAGGATCTCACTGAAAAGTAACATATCAGATGAAGCTGGGAAGAAAGTGAGATATAAACCAATTGGATATCTGGGGGAAATATTAGAAGTATAAGAACAGTAAGTGCTATTGCCCCGAGGTGGGACTATTTCATAGCCATGTATGCGCAGAGTAGTTTCTATGCTCATAACTTATGCCTGTTTTTCCTAGGAGAGTGCTGATTCATAGCTATTTTCTCTTCGTTCTTATTATTTATGACCCATATACTATACAGTTAGGAAAATAAAATATATAGTCACCTTACCGTCATGGCTAAGGGAAAACTATAAGGGGAAGCTTGGTGGTCCTTTAATGGAAGTAAGGAGAGGCTTAACTCTTGGAGGGAAATTATTCTTACCTTTATCTGTACATTACAATCATTTAACTAAGAGCACTTTTAACAACAATCCTTAGTTCCAGGCCATATCCCAGATCAATTAAATCAGAATCTCTTGAGTGTGAATCATGCATATGTATTATTTCAGTGCGTGCTCAGTTGCACCTGATGTGCAAGAAGTTGGAAAAGTACAGAAGTGGGATTGTGAAATTACTATCACTGCAGTGATTTTGGAGTTTCTCTGAGATTAGATAAATTTGTAGCTTTGGCTTACAGATATATATATATATATATATATATATATAAATTACATTCTTAAAGTATCAGTGTTTAGAAGAGACTATAGTGGGATATGAATTAATACAAGGAAATAAGAAGTTTTTGCAATAATTCGGGTAAAGAAATCACGATAGCTGGAGGCTGGAGACATATCACAGGGGATAAAGATGCTCCTTATGCATGCAACAGATCCCTGATTCAATCTCTGGCAGCACATATGGTTTCCAAGACACTGCCGGGATTGATCCCTGAGCAGTGCCAGGTATAGTTCAAAAATCCCCCAAAGAGAGAGAATTGGAAAGG